CGCCCTCATCATCTCCTCTCCCTTTGTTTGTGCTCAACCCTTGTCTGCAACACAGCATCTCTTGTGTTGTACTCAAAACTTTAATGTTTCTGTGTGAAATGGCCCCTAAAAGACTGCCTAGTGTCAATGCTAGTGGAGTGAAACGTGTAGAGACCTCAAAGCCATGACGAAACAACTACCAATCACGATGTTTTTCAAGAAAGAACCAGTCGCTTGCCCAGCTTATTCATCTCCCTCACCTACTCAGTCAGCATCGCCCACCTTCCCCACACACACCACCCCACCACCCACACCTTCACCACACCCACCCCACCACCCACCTTCCACCCACCTCCCACCCACCACCTCCCCATCCCACACCCCCCACCTTCCCACCCCACCCACCACCCCCACCACCCCACCACCACCCCACCACCCACCTCCCCACCACCCACCACCTCCACCCCACCTCCCCACCACCCACCTCCCCCACCCACCTCTCCACCCACCTCCCCACCACCCACCTCCCACCCACCTCCCCACCTCCACCCACCTCCCACCACCCCACCACCCACCTCCCCACCACACCCCCGGTCACCCACTTCCCCACCCACTTCCCCACCCCACCACCCCCACCACCCACCTTCCCACCACCCACCTTCCCACCACATACCACCCCACCACCCCCTCCCCACCACCCCCCACCCACCTTCCCACCACCCACCTTCCCACCACCCACCCCCACCTCCCCACCCCTCCCCACCACCCACCTTCCCATCACCCACCTTCCCATCACCCACCACCCACCACCCACCACCCACCACCACCCACCTCCCCACCCACCTCCCCACCCACCTCTCCACCAACCACCTCCCCACCACCCACCTCTCCACCAACCACCTCCCCACCACCCACCTTCCGTCACCCACCACCCACCTCCCCACCCCCACCTCCCACCACCCACCTCCCCACCACCACCTCCCCAACCACCCACCTCCCGGTCACCCACCTCCCCCACCCCACCACCCCACCACCCACCACCCACCCCCACCACCCACCACCTCCCCACCACCCCACCCCCCACCACCCACCCCCACCACCCCACCACCCACCCCCCACCACCCACCTCCCACCACACCCCCACCACCCACCCCACCACCCACCTCCTGGTTACCCACCCACCACCCACCTCCCCACCCCCCACCTCCCCACCACCCACCTCCCCACCACCCACCTCCCCACCACCCACCTTTCCACCACATACCACCCCACCCCCCACCCCCCACCACCTCCCCACCACCCACCTCCCCACCCACCTTCCCATCACCCACCACCACCACACCCCACCACCCACCCCCACCCACCCACCCACCCACCCACCACCCACCACCCCACCACCCACCTCCCCACCCACCACCTCCCACCCTCCACCCACCTCCCCACCCACCTTCCCACACACCCACCCCACCACCCACCTCCCCACCACCCACCTTCCCACCTTCCCACCACATACCACCCCACCCCCACCTTCCCACCCACCTTCCCCACCACCCACCTTCCCACCACATACCACCCCACCCCCCCACCACCCCACCACACCCACCCCACCACCCACCTCCCCACCACCCACCTCCCACCACCCACCTCCCCACCACCCACCTCCCCACCACCCACCACTGCATCACCTTCTTCCACCAGTGATCCTGATGATCTTATGTTTCAGTAACCAGATTTCATTCTACTGTACAGTACACTTCATCAAGCTCCAAACTTCCACATACAAAGGAGAGTAGTTTTGGTGACTTAAGTTTCTCATACACAGTAAGGGTATACAGCAGTGCACTAAGGTTCGTAAACTATCCAACTAGGAGCGAACACATAGCAATGATTTTAAATTAGACGAATTTTGATTTAGACATGAGATTGATAAACACTGGTTTGGAAATAGAGTACTGGGGTCCTCATTACCCGTGGTTAATTGGGACCGGAAAAATGCCTCTGATAACTAATCCACTGAAGCGGGGAATTAATCCCATAAGAAATAGGAAATGGTTAAATTGAGACCATGACATTGTACACGAAACTCAAATTTTTTTTATGATATCTTTTAACAATTGTTTACCTTAGAGACTTTTGTTAAACATTTGATAACACATTATTTTAAGAAATTATTTAACTTTATAAGTTATCTAATGTCCTTAAAGTTCATTGGGGTCGGTGTGTTGAGGCAACGTAGTGTGCCAGAGACCCGGTAGTCCGCAGCAATCGTTGCTGGTGCACACTCACTCCAGTGGTTCATTGAGACAAAATACTTATTATGTATAATGTTGTAAAAATAAATAACTTTTAACAATGAAATAATTTTTTTTTACTTAACTTAGCTTAGCTTAAACTTGCTTACTTTGGCTTGATTGGATTGATGGAGGTGGGTGTTAGGGGATGGATGATTAGTCAGAGGATGAAAAAGAAACAGGTCTAAGTGGATTGTTCACTCCTACTCTCCTTTTGCTTAATCACTTCTAATTTTACAGCTATACTACAGCTAGTGTGCTTCCTTTTGAGTGCTGCACTACCCTTTTTGGGTTGGGAACTCATGGCTACAAAAATGGTAAAATAATTCACCATAATATGCACAAAAAGACACAACAAAGGCAGAAGTAAACACAACACAGCACTGGTCTGGACGAGACAAAGAGAGAGACTGGTGCGGGGACACATGTGTGCATGCATGGCGCCAGGAAGAGGATAAAATTTCAAACGTTGCAGATAAAAAAAAGTAGAATTTATCGGAAGTCTTAAATCCGTAGATAATGAATACTCTTATAACGAGGACCTCCTGTGGTGGATAAGTGTAACAAGTTACCGAACATCGAACATCATCATTAACTCAAACACGCTGGGTAGCTTCAAATATAGGTTGGACAGATATATGAGTGATAGGGGTTGGCTGTAAACAGGGCTGCCTATTATGGGCAATAGGCCTGCTGCAGTTTCCCTCATTCTTATGTTCTTAAGTTAGAATCTTTCCCCTCCCCCCCTTCCCCCCACCAAAATTCACAAAGAAGCACCATGTTTTACCAAATGCTGGACTTAAATAAACATTCTCATATGATAATGTCATTGATCAGTTTGCTGGTATGTTCTCAACTTGAACCCCTGTGACAGCATACCATCATACATGTTCAGTAACTGTATCAAGTGCAATGTTTGTAGTCCATAACCAGGTAGGTTGTTTGAAGTTACATATTTCATGGTAATGCTAACAGTTTTATCACTCATTTAATGCCATAGCATTATTTACATCTTTTTTGTAATATATTTCTTCATGCTCGTACATTTGCATTGCCTTGTCAGACACCATTATGTGGTAAACCCACATGTATGATGCATTAACTCAGGGCCGGATTCAGGAGTGGGCAAAGTGGGCAGCTGCCCAGGGGCCTCCACGATCTGGGGGCCTCCACATATTACAATATTTTATTTATTTGTTTATTCATTTGGATTATTTTTATTTTCATTCTTTAAAATTCATATTTATCTATTCCATCACGTAAAACTATGTTCAGCAAGAAGCGTGTTAGAAATTAGGCTAGCTACCTGGACAGAACCATTATTTGAGTAGAGGTTTATCTGATCAATAATGAAAAGAATCATCTCTCTGTAATAACTAATAATATATTCTTTTCTGTGAAGTTTCTTGAAAATTTTTGACATGTGTGGTAGTAGCTATATCAGGGCTGGTCGACTTAAAACCACATGAATGACTCCAGTCATGTCTCACTTTTGTGTGTGTGTGTGTGTGTTGGGAATTTGTACACTATCAATAAATATACAGTTAATTAAAAATTTCTCAATGTTCTAATTTCCTCAATATAACTGCATATGGCTTCAAAATTCTCCAAAGAAGTGTTCAAATTTCTAAATTTTCCCGGGGGTCTTACAGCGCCCCCCGGGACTCCCAGATGTTTAGGCTCGCTTCACTCCCCACCCCACCCTCTTGGGTTGTTATAATGAGGGGGCCTCCACAAAGAGGCTGCCCATGGGCCTCCACAGGTCTAAATCCGGCACTGCATTAACTGCTTTTCAGGAAACTAATATTAATAATGTTATCATTAACTATTATAGATTAAATACATATGTATGTACCGGTTTGCTTATCTATTTTGTGTTTTGTTGATAATTTTTCTACTGATTTGTCAATTGTGTAAATGTTGGCATCCAGCACAGTACATACAGTATTATTGGACCAGGACTCAAATATGATCATATTAGTTATTATTACAGTACATGAAGTAACAGTCTGGGTAGAGCAGGACAGTGGACTCATGGGCTAATAGTATAATTGGATTCAAAATAATTTTGTGCTTGACTCGTAGTCACAAAAAAAGTTATGTCTGTAGAGCATTTAATTCAATTTACTTTTGTGCCTCTAAATCAAGACTTCTAAGCTGGTAAATTTGTGGCATTTAAACACAGTGCTTGATCTGTGATCTTCCCAGTTATAATAAGGTAGAGTTTATGTATCAATGGGTGGCTCAGAAAACTTGGCCTGGGGGAGGCAGAGAGGGTTAATCTAGCCCTGAAATATCACAGGTCACTCATAGATGACCTGTAGGCTATAAATGGAGGGATGAAATATATAGTAAAGGGTACCATTTTATAACCAAGGTGAATAGGCTTGATGGTGTTTTAAATTGTCATTAATTTTAGGGGTTTGAAACAAATTCTATGTATGATGTTAGCGTTTCCAGGCTCAGTTTTGGCACTTTGTTGCTACAGCCTCACTAGTACGAAGAAATGTCTGAACCAAAAGTTCAGAGCAATGATTCAATTTCAAGTTTGTTATACAAGGGGTTGCTATATACTAATTCTACATTGATCAAGATCGTATAAATTACCACTAGAACATGTCAGAATCCCTGGTAGAGAGTGTCCTACCTGGAGATACTTGTCTCTTTTAGGCTGTATAATGGGATTTCACATTTCAATACTTTATTTGTAGCAAGACATCATTATTCCAGACCCAGTGCATGGCAGAGGTGCTCTTAGAAGGAGAGGTCGGTGGAAAAAGACAGACCCTCGACGAGCTGAAGCTGAAGGATTGACAACCCTCACCAGTATCATGACAAGACAACAGGTGGGTTGAGTAAGTTAGGTTTGAACTCATTGAAGAATTTCTGTATTGTATACAGGTTGAACCTCTTTATTTGGCAACCATGGGATCAAGGCCATGTCAGAAGAGAGAAATTTCCATTAAATAGATGGTCGGCTAACTCCCTCAGTCGTGGAAAATGACCGTAAAACATTTATGATGACATATAACATTACATTAACCTCTGCCACCATTAGCTCAATAATCCATAATACAGTATTATATAATTTTTTGTATACAAATATGGCTCCCATCACTGTTAATACATTTTACATATAAACAAGCAGTGTGACAATAATGTTTCATAAATGTATAAGAAATATGTAAATTTAATTTATATGATGTAATGAAAAAGTTCAGTAATACCCCAATTTATGCGGTCAATTGAACCCAAACGCGTAAATGGAATAACAGAACATATGGGATTAATTGAAATAGAGACTGGGCCGACTCCTAAACTCCACTTTTTCCGACACAATACCTATGTTCTAGTAAAAATAACATCATAATTTTATGATGGTACGCACACACAATTAATATTTAAGAGAAATACAGTCGCCAGGTTAGTGTCCATTCAAATAATGGACTCAACTCTCCACCCCCCCCCCTTCCCACACTCGCTGGCTCCTCCCTCTCTGAGAAATGTTTGGGTGAAAACACTAGATTTTAAGGTATAGTAATAAATAATACCTCAAACTAAAGTTAGGATAATATAATTGACATTGCTGGATTCCTTGCAAGACCAGGAATATTTTGAATATACGCATCATATATTTTGCACAAAAGATAACATATTTGCTTTGAGTAAACAAAATACTTACATTAGATCTAAAATTTGTATGTCTAATGCAAAATCTATGATGTTTATATTCAAAATGATCATGAAATTGTAAGAATTCCAGCAATGTAAATTATATTCTGGCTGGGTAATTTGTATGAATTTTATGAGCTAAAACAAATATCTTCAGTAAATAAAAAAAATATACTTCACCCAAACACTATCTGTCAATCAAAATACCCTACCTCCGGCTCCCCCCCTCTTCCCACGATTGCTGGGTCCCTCCCTCCCTCCCTACCAGAGAAATGTTTGGGTTAAAACAGTATATTTACATTTTTAGTAATAAATAATACCTCAGACTAAAGTTAGGATAATATAATTGACATTGCTGGATTCCTTGCAAGACCAGGAATATTTTGAATATACACGTCATATATTTTGCACAAACGATAACATATATGCTCTGAGTAAACAAAATACTTACATTAGATCTAAAATTTTTATGTCTTATGCAAAATCTATGATGTTTATATTCAAAATGATCATCAAATTGTAGGAATTCCAGCAATGTAAATTATATTCTGGCCGGGTAATTTGTATGAATTTTATGAACTAAATAAAAAAAATTATACTTCACCCGCGTATATGAGTAGATGCACCGCGTAAAGTGGGAATTCCGGTTCTGGCGGGGTACTGCGTAAATGTAGAGACGCTTAAAAAAAAACCCGCGTAAAGGAGGGTATTGCTGTAAATGGAAAATATGTAAATTGGTGTATCCCAGACTATGCAGTACAGTACTCAGTCTTATTTGAGCACCTGTAATGATAACACCCACAATCTATTATCCTCAAACAATGTTGTGTTATTCTCACAGCCATTCATCACACAAAAAATTCATAGAAATAACATGAAATATGGTACTGTACAGTGTACATACAGTATATGAAACACAGTAAAAAACATAATTGAAAGGTGTGTTCATAATCTCCATCTCACGGCTGTTCAACCAGGGTTTAAGTGCATTGGAACGCTCAGTAATGGAGTGGTGGTTCAAATGGCCCCAGGCTCCATTCTGGTTAAAATTTCTAAAACCCCAAAAGAAAAAACAAAACATTTCTTACATTTTTTCATAAATTGTGTTCCCATATTTATAACATGTCAAAATAATTTTTTTTTCCATTATTTTTTATTAAATAAACTTGTAGAGAATTTATTCAGGATCATCACAGTATCAAATTTATCTTTTTAATTTAATTAGTACAGAAGCTGTGGTTAAAAGTTTATACACTTTTTCACTCGCTATAAATATTTTCACTCATGGCCATGGCCTAGAATATTAGGAGAGTGATAAGAGCACTTCCGGGGAGGAGAGATTTCTGTGTAACAAGGCGACTCTCGAACCCAGAAAAAAGAAATCCCCCCATCCCTGGAATTTTTGCAGGAACCAAAATTTTTTCAGAATTTTCCAGAATGATGCATTATTTCATCTCTCAAACCCCCAAAAAATCCCCCATCCCTGGAATTTTTCTGGTTGCTGGAAAATTTTTCTCAGAATTTCCAGAAAATGTGCCTAATTTTCATCTCTCAAACCCAGAAAAAAATCCCCCATTTCTGGAATTTTCTGGATACCGGGAAAATTAGCTGGGGAATTTTCCAGAAAATCTTTCCCAAACTCGAAATTTCCCGGAAAATTCCAAGCAAATTTTAATTCCTGCTATTGGAGAGTTCCAGTTAAGAGGGATTCCTGTTAATGGAGACATTGCTTGTACAGCCAGTCAAAAAATTTTCTTTGTAAAAATTATCTTAACCAATATGACACAATGGATGAAGAACTTTGACAACCGTACCAAAACAACAGGAGTCGTAGTGTTCCTCCTGAAATTCATTGATCTGCCCAGTAAATATGTTTTTTTAGCAGCTGTACATTATCACTGCACTATAATATAACTGTTGATAAAAAATAGAAAGTAAAAATAATTGTTGGTTAGGTGCATAGTCCCCGAAATGTTTATAGACATTTTTCCTTGTTAGTTTTTTGTCAAAATCTTTTGAAAGTATTTTTTCATGACGAATTATTACTGTACACATACAAAGGAAGAGAAATAGACCAGTTAGAAGTTTCTGTGACAAAAACTGAAATTTGGGCAGTAATATTTCCACTTACCACTCAGACGATGTATGGCTTGGCAAATGTTAAACACCTGGTCGTCACTGTACTGTCCTTCCTCCATAATCTCACGTAAAAACGGAGGAAATTCCTTATTCGCAGCACGGTCAGCACTCGCTTCTTCACCACCAGTGTTTATATTGGTGATCTTGTTCCGGATCTTAAACCTCTGTAACCACCCAGAGGAAGCATTAAAGGGTTTGGGCTCTGTGATTCCCATCTTTCATGCCACTGCAATGTACAGTTCACGTGCGTACTCCTTAACAGAGCTCGTGTCGACCGCCATGTTCCGTCGCGCCTGACGCACCAAGTACCTCACAAGTAATTTTTCTGTCTTGAGAAGCACCTAGTTGTGAAAATACTTGATCATAGAAGCACCTGTAGACTTTGTGATCTTCATGTGCCCCTTTATCTTGGCTGCATCCTTCTTTATTGTTCGAATCGTAGATTCATTCACACCATGCTGGCGCGCCAAATCAACCTGCCTTGTTCCTTTCTCCAACTCTTGGATGATGGTATACTTCACCTCATAGCTTAAGGAACGTCGTGTCTTCTTTGGCTTAGTGCCGCTGGGTCCAGGTAAGGAAAGGTTTCTCTCTGGGGGCGGTGGTCCGGCGGAAGCCATTTTACAGAACAATGGATACACGTTTACACGGTCTGGCGTGGAGGGATGAAACTGGCGCGGCTAGGTCAAGCATCGGCTTTCCTCCCTCCCTCCCTCCCTCCCCCGGGTGGACACGTCATAATACTTTAAGCCAATTACAGCTAGCAGCAGAGGGGGGTAGGGATGCATGGCCAATCACAGTCCGATACGTCATATGACGTCAGTGATAACGCAACAAAGACACACACTGCGCAACCTTACCGCGCGGCTTGCCCAGGTGGAGGGAGGGAGGGAGAGGCGAGAGCACAGGCAGGCAGGCGGGTGGGGCGAATCTAAAAATAGCGTCTCGCCGGACACTCTCCGCGTAATGGGGTTCACGCACCGCGTAATGTGAGCACGTTAGGTTCTGGCAGGGCACCGCGTTAACGTGGAAACGCGGAATGTGGGACCGCGTAAAGCAGGGTTGACTGTATTTTATCTTTTGTGCAAAATATATGAAGTTTACATTCAAAATATTCCCTGACCTGCAAGGAATCTAGAAATGTCAATTATATTATCCAAACTTTAGTCTGGGTTATTATTTATTACTAAAAATGTAAATATACTATTTTCTCCCAATCCTTCTCTGGTAGGGAGGGAAGGTGGGGGGTAGGAAGGGAGGGAGGGCGGAGGTGGGGTATTTTGATTGACAGATAGTGTCCTTGAAGAATGTTTCTTTGTTTATTTACTGAAGATATTTGTTTTAGCTCATAAAATTCATACAAATTACCTGGCCAGAATATAATTTACATTGCTGGAATTCTTACAATATGATGATCATTTTGAATATAAACATCATGGATTTTGCAATAGACATACAAATTTTAGATCTAATGTAATAATTTAGTTTACACAAAGGAAATATTTTATCTTTTGTGCAAAATATATGAAATTTACATTCAAAATATTCCCTGACCTGCAAGGAATCCAGAAATGTCAATTACAGTATTACCCCGCCTAACGCGGTTTCACTTAACGCGTTTTCTCATAGACGCGGTGCCTCGCCAGAGCTGAACTTTCACTTAACACAGATTTTTTCCACATATACGCGGTGAGTGTCTGGCTCGAGACGCTATTTTTAGATTTGCCCCACCCGCCACCCTGCCTGACTGCCTGTTTTAGCTCATAAAATTCATACAAATTACCCGGCCAGAATATACTTTACATTGCTGGAATTCTTATAATTTGGTGATCATTTTGAATATAAACATCATATATTTTGCATTAGACATACAAATTTTAGATAAAATGTTTTCTCTAGTAAATATGTTATCTTTTGTGCAAAATATATGACATTTATATTCAAAATATTCCTGGTCTTACAAGGAATCCAGCAATGTCAATTATATTATCCTAACTTTAGTTTGAGGTATTATTTATTACTAAAAAGTTAAATA